GAAGTTGAAGATCCCATTTTACTTTAATTACTATTGGGGGTGCTTTATATTGTGGTAAAAACACTCTTGGACGTTTTGTGTTGATATTCTTGTCATTTAGGACTTCTTGGATTTGATTTGATTTACTCGAGACGAGTAAAGGTTTAAGTGTGGGGGTGTTTGATGCACACTAATTAGTAGTGCATAATTGTGTGTTTTTATGTTTCATTGATGGTGATTGTTTGACGTTTTATTTAGTTTGTAAACATTTGTGTGATTTTAGTTGTAATTGTATTTTAGTTCTCATTTGTAAGTTGTAAAGTAGAATTAGGAATTAGGATGTTGGAGAGGAGGATGTTGAAGTGAAGAAAAAGGAATTTTGACTGTCCAGGAGCAAATACCCGACCGGGTAGGAAACTTCACCCGGTCGGGTCTGATTTGAAAACCGAACCACTAAGGAAAGAGTTGGGCCCGGTCGGGCCCCATACCTCACCCGGTCAGGTGAGAAGTGACCGGGGACAACCCGGTGTGCGAAGATCACCAGAACGTGGGGAAATATCTGATTTTGACCGGACCCGGTCGGGTGAGTACTTGACCCGGTCGGGTACCCGGCCAAAGGTGTTGTAAAACACCTATAAATAGCCCCATTTTCCTTCACTTTGATTCACTCCTTCTTCCATACTCTTAAGCTCAGTTTAGAATAGCATTTCTTTATATTTCTTCTAGCTATGTTTAGTCTCCAAATGAGGAGCTAAACTTCCATTCTTGGTGTTGCTCTTGAAGCTTGTTGATTATTAAAGTTGTGAGTTATTTTCTTAACTTTTTTCCTTGAATATTAATTGATAGTTCTTTCCTTAATACCATCTCTATAATAATGTTGGGGAGTGTTGCTAAGATGACAATTAGTTAACATCTCGACATTAGTTAGAATGGTATTTTCTTCCTCTATATTAATGTTGGGGAGTGTTGCTAAGATGACAATTAGTTAACATCTTGATATTAATTATAGTAGGATTCATCTTCTTTAATAATATTCTTCCTTGAATATTAATTAATCCCTACTCATATTTCATATTAATATTTTGAACATTACTTAAAGGATCAACTAGTTTTGTTTCATATATTAATTATTACTAGAAACGATCAACGAACCGATGGTTAATCGTTGATAGTTTCACAAGTAAGTAACTTCGGTTTGTTAATGCACGGTCGTGGTTAATAAACTTAAGAGGGATTAATTTTGTTGGTTAAACCGAAACCGTTGTGTTGAGGTTATCAATCTCAATTGATTTCATCAAGGAGTTAGAAAGATTAAATGCTACTATTAAATCGGTATAAGGCGTTGTTCTATATTTGATTAATAGTAAGGGTTATTAATGAACAGTTGTTGTTAATAACTACCCTCGATGAAGTGGATATACTCCCCGATTGAGTATTCGAGAGGGAATAAGTTATAGATATAACAATGATCTACTAAAATATATCAACAAGTGAAAAGTAGCAATGCCAAGTCCTTTTTATCTTTGAATTAAACATATATAGGTTGTTCATCTTAGTTCTTAATTAAATTAAATCACTCAATCCAAATCCCCCCTTTTATTTACTAAGTATCATAAAAAGAGAATTATTCCTTTCCCTGTGGATATGAACTCTACTACGCTATACTACGTATAAGTGTTAGTATTGAAAATTATTTTGACGCACCGTGACAAAGTGCTCGTCAATCCTTCAGAGCCTATCAGGAGTTTTTCAGAGCTTTCATGCAACGTTTCTTCGTCTGGAAGTTCTCTTTTTTCTCACAACTTAGACCCCTGTTTATAGGTGTGGCGAGGTGAAAATATGCTTGTAGGGTTGTAGAATTCGTTCATATGCTTAGGACCCTGATTAAAATGGGTTTTGGGCTCTATTTGCTTGAATTTTAATAGCTAGAAAAATCAGCAATTATGCATTGTATCTAGACAGCTTTTTTAATAAGGTTCAAAGCTATTTTCCATACATATGGATGGATTTCTTGACCAGTTCGTTGCCTTCTTTTCATATATTGGATCATGTCTCTTATTTATTAGGTCATTATTTAATATTGGGCTCAAAATAAATAGATTAATAGGATAGGACCGGACCACTCTTTTAAAGATTTAATTTATAATTAAATCAATTGGGTATTTTTTTAATGATCCAAATTAATTCAATTATTAAATTTTATCCGAATGAGTCCATATTAACAGAATTGAACATTGGCTCAATAATTTTATATGTCCACAGTCATTTCGTGATTTCCCCCATAAAATTTACTTGATACTAACGATCTAATTGATCATGACTTAATTACGGACGTATTAACCCATAGACGTACAACATTTAGGATATGTTTAGCACAATTAGCTAAAAAGATACTTTTGTGAGCTTTTTAGTAACTACTAGCTTTTAGTAAATGAAAAGATCTTAAAAAGAAAAAGTGATAGTTGTTTGATAAAAGCTGACTGTTTGATTTAGTTCTGTTTGGTATACAAGTTGTTAGGACGAATTAATAGTAAAAGTCACGGGCTTTTCTCAGATGTTACTACATGTAGCATCTCAAAAAGATCTTTTAATTTTTGAAAAGCTCTTAAAAATTCTCATGTCAAACATACAATTAGAAGCTTTTAGAGACTTTTTAAACAGTACAAAAGCATGAAGGTAGAGACTTATGTCTGCCAAACATGCACTTAATTTTAGTAGACTTTTGGTAATTGCGTTAGGATACCAATAACATAAACTTTATATTAAGGATGAAACCTTAGGATCGGCTGCCCCGGCTGGATAGTTAATTGAAAAAGTATGAATAAAACTTTGATCACATTTTGATCACATTGTTTTCGTCCATATATGGTCCTTCCGGCAATATCTCTAGTGATTAAAATCACCGGAGGACCATAAATAATCAAGAAACATTAATAAAGCACTTTGTATTAAAAATGCACAAAATGAAAGATGTGAGCTAAATGCGGGATTAACCTAAACTAGGGGATGAAAAGTGAAAATACTCCCAAAAAATGATATAGAGCATTTCAAGTTTAGGATAGACCACTTAGAATGATAGTAATAACCTAAACTTAGAATTAAGGATGACACATCATCCCATCTCTGAGGACCCTCACAACCGGTTGAATAGTTATCTGGAAAGATATTAATTGAACAGCTATCCCTTGTGAATTTTAGGTGGCATCCCTATTTATCAGTTGAGTTACGTACTCTGGCACAATTTGCTTAATCAATAATACGTATTAGGATGATTTCTTTTGGACTTTTTTCAGTCCCAGACCATATTAGACTTAAACAAACCAGATCAGACTTAAACAGACCAGATTTAAATAGACCACACCAAACCAGACCAGACTTGAATAGTTATAAAATATACAGAGACCAGATTAGACTAGACCAGTTCAGACCAAACCAGAGCAGACCAGACCAGACTTGGACAATTATAAAATACACAGAGCTAGACCATTTCAGATCATATCAGTTCAGACCAGACCGGACTCAAACAGACCAGACCATACTTAAACAGACCAGACCAGCAAATTTGGGTCCAAAACAAAACATCCTTAGTTAAGCAAAAATCACATTTACTTAGAGAGAATTCCCTAAATAGGAGTAAAAAAGTTTTAAAATTCCAAAATAGAAGTATCATGATTTTTATTCCTTGAATAGCTTCAAAACATGACATTTTTTCCCAAATTTGGTAGATTACTCCTATTTAGGGAATAAAAAACATGATATCTTATTTTAAAATTTCAAAACGTTTTTGTTCGGAGCAATTTCTAATTTACTTATTAATGGCAGAGCATTTCAAGTTTAGGCACGATTTGACTTAATATTGATATGATTTCATAATACATCATTGAAAGGGAAAGTATTGGATGGGGTGCATGACTGCAGCGGACAAGTCCCGCAGATTCGCAGAAAAGTCATCCGTAGAAGCTAAAAAGGTGAAATGAGCATTGCTGGGGCAGCATGTCTGTCTCACTTCAATGCTAATTTGGGATCTCTATTTTGACCAGTGTCTGAAAATACTATATTACCAGTATTTTTATGTCATACTGCGTATAGTATATACTTTTCATGATGAAATACGTGCACGTTTGGTAACACCCGTGCAATACATTCTTACTAGCAAATCCTTTATTTGTCATATTCATATATGGTTGAGAATATATATATATATATATATATATATAGAGAGAGAGAGAGAGAGTAGTGTTCGAGTCAGGAATTCCTGACCAGAACCGCCGTCCGGACGACGACTTTTGGGGACCTTTCTGGTGGAGTTTTTTGATGAAATTTTTATGACGTGTTCTTCATCAAGTCTAGTTTATACACAAAACAATTCAGCTAAAAACTCAATCGGGAAGGTCATCAAATGATTTTCACAAGATAACTGCGCCGGGAAATACATACAAAACGCAGTTAACTTGTAAAAATAATTTGACGGCCTTCCCGATTGAGTTTTTAGCTGATTTTTTGTGTGGATCAACTAGACTTGATGACGAACATGCCATAAAAATTTCATGAAAAAATTCAACCGGGAAGGCGTCCAAACGCCGCCGTCCGGACGGCGGTTCCTGTCCGCAATTCTGACAACCCAAAATGCGGGAGTTCCGTTTAGGTTACAAAATTACGGGAGTCGGATTTGGCAAATCCGACTAGAGGAGGGATTCCGAATTAGGGCTGAATACCTTGTCGGAATTGGGGAATCCAACAAGGGGAATGCGAAAAAATTAAATAAAAACCCAGTCGGAACTGGGGAATCCGACTAGGGGAATTTTGATAATAAATTTTTTTCAAATGGCATACGTGTTAGTGTCTGTTCATTTGTTTTACCAACAATTTGGTCGGAATTGGTGAATCCGATTGGGTTTTTTATAGTTGTGAAATATTTTACGTGTTTAATTTGTGGCCTAGCTTTTTACCAAACTCCAACCACACCAACTCCTATAAAATCCGTTGATTTGTTCTCAAAATTTTCAAGCACACTCCAAAAACACATCTCTCTCTTAGTATATTCATTATATTTTTTGTTTAGCCACTCTCTTCTCATATACAAATGTCTACCGAGGGCAATACTGTTGTTATAATTCATTGGAATGGCTCTACATACATCTCAAAAAATATGATGAAATAGAGTACTCCATACCTCCTAGAGCGGTACTATTCATTAGTGGAGAGATGGAGGCCGAAGACACATATTTCCCATCTTCCATTCGGTGAGGTCGACATTCGTCTACAAGATGTGTTGATCATCCTTGGTTTGCCCATTCGGGGTATGCCCCTCAGTGGTCCAATCATTAAGAGTAAGGCTAAGTGGATCGACCTGTGCACGCAGTCGTGTGGTTTCACTCCTCTAGAGACTGATATACGCACGAGTGATATCACCATGAGTGTTGTTACCCGTCACCCGATCATACCTGACAGTACAGACGAAGAGGTCACCCAACACACCAGGACCCTAATATGGCAATTGCTTAGAGGGTTTTTGTTCACTGACACAAGTGGGACAAGAATAAGATTGTACTTTTTGGAGGTCTTGGATTGTGACTTGGCTTTAGCCCGTCGATGGAGTTGGGGATCAGTGGTTCTCGGGTACCTCTACCATAACTTGTGCAATGGTGCCAAGTGGGAAATCAAAAAAGTTGGCGGTTGTATGCACTTGTTACAGATTTGGGCTTGGTCGAGGATTTCGATGGTCCGTCTCTCAGTACTTCAGGTCATTCAACACGACCATCTTCCATATGGGTGCAGGTATGTTGGCAATTACATCTTAATAATTGAGAATGCTTTATATGATGTTACATTTTTTAACTTCATATCAGTAATCAATAAATGTAGGTGGATCGTCCCCAAGTCATATAAGGGATCCCCAAGACACTGCATACGCTTGTACTGTGATGACCTAGACCGCATGAGTTAGAGCCAGGTAGTACTTGAAATTTTTACTTCCACCGTACTATTCAATTTTCAATACACATTGTTTTATACTGTAGTTCTTAAATTGCAAATTAAACTTTTTACAGTTTGATTTCACTCCCTACGCGTTCGAGACACTCCCACCACCTATCATCCTTCATGACGCTCCGCTTTGGTCGGCTAGGGTCATGCTCATATTTTGCAATAGTTACATATAAGGCAAGATACTCCAATGCTCCTTTGGCGGGTACTAATAATCACGGCAATCGTTCCAGCATAGTAACCGGTGCCTTGGCGTTGTGGGCGGACATACAACATAATATATATTTTCTTGATTATGATCGACATATGTCCCTCGAAGCAACTAATAGGTACCGAAAATGGTACAAGAAGCATGGTATGACACGTGTCCAGAACCCTTCTCACAATGTGCCCACGACAGGTTACACCCCAACATCACACGATTGAGGTATTATGGTAAGTTTTTGAATACATATCATATTCATTAACATATATCATGTCATATTATTTACACGTGTTACATTTTTATGCAGAAGCAAGGATTTTACGAGGTGTATCAGCTCTTAGCCGACCACGCGAGTTATGAGGACTGTAAAAAACGCCTACGGGGGATGGCCCTGGACGTAGGTGATGAAGAGATGCTCCGCCGAGGCATATTCCATTATGAAGATGAAGATGAAGGTGGAAGTGACGAAGAGGATGATGTAGATGAACATGAAGCTGGGGGTGAGCACTCACAATCGCCCCCTCAATTCTCAACACAGGGTTTCTCATTTGATCAACCACTGCCGTATTATGATTCTTATCAGTACCCCACACAAGCGGGTGATTATGTTGATTCATTTCTGGATTCGTCGTTTTACTATGGAGACACAGTGGGGCCTTGGAACACTGGCGGTGGGGGCGGAGCAGGGCCGAGCACGCAACGTTAGATATAGTATTAAATTTAATATTGTATGTATTGTCTATTCATTAATAAATTACATTGAAAACTACATTTGTTTTTTTTCACTTCCACTAAAATTACAAAAATTGCACTTAAAACAAAATCAAATTTGTATCTCATTTGAGGAATGGATTAAATCAAAATTGCACTTAAAATTACAAAAATTTCAATTAAAACAAAATTCACAATACAAATGGATTAAAAAACAATATAAAGCAATCAAATGTTATGTTACTCAAAAAATCAAAATGCTAAGTTTTCATTTTAAAAAATATGTCATGAATCTAAACAAACTTTAAAATTTGGAATGGATAGAATTTAGCCCTAGAATTTAAAACTTTTAGTTTTTAAAAACTCAAAATCAAAAATTTAAGAATTCCGCAAAAAAAAACCTCCTAGTCGGAAGTCCCTAATCCGACAGGAGGGGAGGGTTTTTTTTTTGGAAATTCTACCTCTAGGGGTGGACTCGGGTTCGGGCCGGGTCCGGGTCGGGCCTAGGCCCGGGCGGGCCGGCGGTTCAAGAATGGTGGACCCGGGACCGGCCCGGGTAGCCACCGGGTCCGGTCCGGGTCCACGCCTGGCCGGGCAGGGCTTCCGGTTTGGATTTTTTTTTTTTTTTTTTGCTTTCCTAACCCCCCCCCCCCCCCTCACCCCCCACCCTCCCAAACCCCCCAAACCCATCCTACCCATCAAGCCCAACCCGGGTGGAACCCCAAAAATGAAAAAAAATATCAATTTGGCCCGGGCCCGGGCCTGACCCGGCCGGGCCGGTTCACCAAAATTGAGACCCGAGCCCGGACCCGCCCTACCCCCCGGACCCGGACCCGAGAACCGGGCCGGTCCCGGTCCCGCACAGTAGCGGGCCGGGCCGGTCCACAGGCCGGGTGACCCGACCCGAGTCCAAGCCTACCTATCTCTAGTCGGATCATTCAGTTCCGACTCCTGTTTTTTGGTAAAACCTTTGGCAACCCCAACCCCCTTTTCCCGTATTTCAGTAAATCACCCCACGGGTATGGTATGTTTGTTTTTAGAGAGAGAAAAAAAAATGTTTGTTTTTAGAGGAAATGTGTTTAGCTCAAATTAAAGAATCGTCAAGAAGTATCAAGAACTCAGTTTTCGAACACCTTTGAATTGAAAGTTTTCAGAGGTTAGTTCTCTTTATAATTAAATTTAATATAATCACTTGGTTTAAAATGCACTTGAGCAAACCTAGTAATAATTAAAATAGAATTTTTTATGTGCACCCAGTTAATTTTGCTAGAGAAGCTCTCTAAAAGTGTGTTTGAGAGTTGGGGGGAAAGTGGAGAGAAGACTTTGAAGGTAAGTTGTTGGAGGAGAAAAGGATGAAAAGGTGAGGAAATTTTTCAATTCTTCTTATTTGGAAGTAACAAATTTGAAAAAGGATAGCATTAGAATGAATCATAATTAAAATCACTTCTGAGAGATGGTGAATTCAAATGGTTAAACTCATATTCAATTAAATTTAATTTAAATTATCATGTAGTTAGTTATCCTTTAAAATCCTTCATTTTGAGTAACTTAAAAATTGAGCATTTGATGAGTTTTAGAATGTCACAAAAATATTTTAAAATCATCTCTCCGCATTTTTAAACTCCCACTCACAAATAAGAGGATCATCAATCCTCACATGTCTTCTCCTCCCTCCCAAAAACCAACACCCAAACAAACTCTAAATAGGGACAAAACATGACAAATCTTCTTAGAATACGGGGTACGGCGGTTTAATGCGTCAAACCCTCTCATAATACAAAAATTTAGCGTACTAGTTTCTTGTGATGTGAAAAAAGCATCTAATACCATGCATTATAATTAATCTTGTACATAATCTCCAAGAATAATAAATTCAATTGAAGAAAAGTGATTAATAATTTTGTATAATCTAGACATGCATCTTGAAAAACTTACATGCATATTCGATCATAGTATTAAGATACACGATTTTCAAATTATTAATTAAAGTTCTTCTTATTTATGTGCACGATTAATTCATTATAACACAGAGGAATTACGTTTGACTCCCTTTTAAAAATCACAAGGTCGGACTACTGTGCTGGATTTATATATATCACGAAGGGTTGACGTATTAAACCCCAAAATATGGCTTTTGCACTCCTATTGATGGAGGTTTTATTCTTTATTATTCTAATATGACTTATTTTACTTGTATCTTGAGAAGAAAACATATGTAGGATGTTTGACTTGAACAAACAAGATCATATCAAAGCAGACTTAAACTAACTAAACTAGAACATATCGGACTTGAAAAGTTTTAAGAACACATAGACGAGATATCTACCAGACATAATAGTTCTGACCAAACCAAACAAGACCAGTTCAGACTAGATTAGCTATCAGACCAAATCAAAGCAGATCAGAGCAAATCAGATCAGACTAGACCAAAATAATTACAGTCCAAATAAAAGCATCATTAATCATATTTTAGTATATTGTCAGTATTACTCTTGTTTTGAGTCCCTAATTTTTACTAAACCCGAGGTTCGATTAAATTTGATCCCCAGATTTACTTAAGTTCATCCACTTATCTAAATTATCGGTTACTTAATGCATGTGGACTTGGTGACAAAGTATTCTCTCCTGCCTGCCATATTTCTTTTATAATTGAGGTAATAAAATAATTAATACTCCCTCCGTCCCGAAATTAACTTCACACTTTCTTTTTCGGGCAGTCTCAAAATTAACTTCTTACTTCTTCCAACTTCTTTATTTTGCAAATTATCTACATCAAAACAGTGCAAAACAATGTTAAACAGTGCGAAACAATGTTGAAACAGTAAAATTTATTTCAAAGTAAATTTATTTTCTTAATATATGTGAAATCGAAGTGAGAATTTAATTACGGGACGAATGCAGTATAACATTGTAATGTTTTACCAATTCCTCATTAAGATTCACTCCTCCATTAATGCATGCGTGTCTTCTCACGAACAATAGTAAATTAAATTAAAATTACTTTGTACTCCCTCCGGTTCTGAAAGATCTTTACACTTTTCATTTTTAGCAGTAAAAGAAAGATCTTTACACTTCTTTATTTGTCTTATTTGGCAAATAAATCTACATAAAATAGTGTCAAACAGTGCCGAACAGTGTCAAACAGTGTTTATTTCCTTAAAAACTGTGAAGTCAAAGTGTCAAGATCTTTTGGAACCAGAGAGAGTATATCATAAGGAAAAAAATTGATATAACCGGTGGGTGTAGCTCAACTGATAGCGAGGGAGTGCCACAAGGGTTAGGTCCCGAGTTCGAATCTCGTCAACTACGATGAGAGGTTACCGGGGGGACAGAGTCTCACTCTATATCTGTCAGATTGGGATTATAGTCCAACTTACATCCTCCCAACGTACCGTTCGATCGGGGTTGAGGGACCTCAGGGATGAGTTATATGTAAATATACGCTACATGGCCAATCATTTACTCAGAATTTCATGATATATAAAATCTAAATAGATGCCTAAATAAGGAAATTATGATAGTTTGTAATAACTTATTAATGACAATCAGGTGTCTAGTGACTATACACTGATTAATGGGAGATGGAAGAATTGAAGAAGTTCACAAGTAAAACCCATCACTCTCAATTCTCAAGAAAGTCAATTCATCAAAAAGTTCAATTTCAACTTGCACAAACTCCGAAGAAGTAATTCGTGTAATCCTTATTGGTATAACTAGCTACTCCGTATAATCACATAAAGATATGCTGAGTAAATAATTTCATCCGTACGTACATATTAATGCTTTTTTTATTAATATAGAAATTGCACTAAATAGGAGCAAAAACGTTTTGAAATTTCAAAATAGGAGTATCATATTTTTTATTCTCTAAATAGGAATAATCTGCCATATTTGGAAGAAAATGTCATGTTTAAAGTCTAATAATGTCAAACTTGACAAAAATTTACTCATATTCAGGAAATAAAAAACATGATAGCCCTATTTTGGAATTTCAAAACTTTTTTATTCCTGTTTAGTGAATTCTCTCTCATTAATATTAAAATTAAAACAAGGTATATATTCTTTATCCGAAATTTCAAATTTCACTACAAGCCAAAACGTTGTAGTGAAACGATACCAACGTGTAGTGCTACCACTACGTCTGACGTGAATCGCGGCACACAATTTTATTAATTAATGTAGAGTCGCTTTCATAACAGTGGCCTAATTAGTTTATTCTGAAATTACAAGAAAATTTTGTTTACAATATACTTTGTTTACAATATATTTAGTTTATTCTACAATGACTTTTGTCGATCCAATTTGAAAGTAACACACCATTATTTATTTTGGTTATTAAACAATTATCGTGTGAAATTCAAAGTTACGTGTACGGTGAAAAAGTTGACTGCGTAATGCGTAGTTATAATTTATAGTTGATTATTAAGTGATACTACATCTGTTTTTAAATAGTTGCAATATTAGAAATTTACACTACACGTGTGTTCTACTTTGTAAGTGATTGGTCATTGGCGAAATAGTTGAATCATGAATAGTTATACTTTCAAAAATATTATTAAAACAATACTTATTTACACAAATATTATTAATAGTCACTACAATGTAGTGTTATGATAACTTGAATTTAAAAAATCAACATAAGTCATTATTGTTCAATTACTACTCTAGTCACTATCACATTTTTGTAAACGGACTTTATTTCAATCATTAATACGGTACTATTTCTATATTTCAATTGTTTTAGTAATAGTATAAACAGAAAAATTAACGAAAAATGTAATCTTCTTTTTTTAATCCATTGTATTACAAAAGCTCACTCCTATTTATTTTATTATTATAAAATTTGACGTATGAAAAAGAGAATTCTAAAAAATGAGAAAAAAACTCAACTAATATTACTTCTAGATAAATAATCAACATGAATATGACTTAATACTATCATAATAACTATTAGGATGACAAAGTTTACATCATAATAACTACATGT